CACCAATTTTTGTGGGAAAACTTTTTATTCTTCAACAAAGAATGAGAAAACGTGTTATTTGGGATTCAATCTAAATAATTGGCAGGGACGAAAAAACTCTCCTTTTAAGATTTTTACTTATTTATGAGACCTACAAAAAGAGGCCACACGTAAAAAGATCCGACTAATAGCAAAAAAGTTATGGCCGAAAACCGAGGAAAACTACAGGTTTTGGCACGTGTTGGTAATGCGACGACGGTTTCTCGCAGATATTTGAAATTTTTCAAATTCGTAGGATTCGTACTTCTAAATAACCACAACAAAATTGGAGTAGATTGGTCGAGAAGTTTTTGAGAATTTCTAATTGTTTATCCCAAAACATATGTTTTCCGCCTATCACTACTAGTTTATTGAGCAATATACAGGGTTAGTTCAAAGGGCATATTATAGCAAAATCCACTAGTTTACCTTGTCGATATGAATCGCAAACTATTCCGGAAGATAAATGTTATTTTTATGCAAAAAAGGATGGGTTACGTTTTTTCTTCTAAGCAAATTCAAACATTTCGTATTTGTGAGTAACTCGCAACAAAAGATGATAGACACATCCGCTTTGTTATAAAATGTGTATAGCAACGTATGCATTTCAAATATCGTAGCGCATTTGCTCAATTACTCACAAATACGAAATATTTGAATTTGCTTAGAAGAAAAAAACGTAACCTTTGTTTTTGGCATAAAAATAACATTTATATTTTGGAATGGTTTGCAATTCATATCGGCGAGGTAAACACGATTATTTTGCTATTAAATGCCCTTTGAATGAACCCTGTATATTGCTCAATAAACCAGTAGTGATGGCCGGAAAATAGGTGTTTTTGGATAAATAATTAGAAATTCTCAAAAAACGACCATTATACTCCAATTTTGCTCTTGTTATTTAGAAGTATGAATCCTGCGGATTTGAAGAATTTCAAGTAGTTGCGTAAAATAATCGTCGCATTACCAACAAGTGCCAAAACCTGCATTTTGCCTGATTTTTTCGGCCATAACATTTTTGCTATTAGTCGGATCTTTTCACGTGTGATCTCATTCTGTAGGTCTCATAAATAACTAAAAATCTTATATAAAAAGTTTTTTCGTTCCTGTCAACACTTTCGATTGAATCCCAAAAACACGTTTTCTCATTCTTTGTTGTCAAATAAAGTTTTCCCACAAAAATTGGTGCAACCATTTTATCCGCCCATGTTTAAAAAACCCCTCGAACAACTTGCACCAATAAAACTATTTCGGGGAAATTTGCTAATACGATTAGACTATATGTTAGATGAACGCCTACATTGGAAATATACTCGTACATTTATGAGATTTGCCTAGCGGTGCGCCAGTGGCCTGTTCAGAAAATGCGTCGATCGATGCTCAAAGTCAAAATACCACACGTCCTGCATTTCTTCTCGCGTATGTTTCTATTTATGTTGCTATATTGGAATTCGTTTAAGTCACAGAGCTTCTGCACTACATGTGAGTATGTACAGCTCTGTATTCCTGTTCTTGTTTCGTACAAACATACATTATCAAAATAATTACGATCTAACATGTACTTATAGTTTTTTTCCAAACATTTCCAACTTTTTTACATGTGATCAACACCGATTCGAAAACTGAGAAAATAACAACTATGCCGTAAATCGACAACGAAAGTCTGAAGAATAATTGTACCATATATATTGAATTTCAAAAAATAATCGACTATACCTATACTTCTCCGTGTCAGCGCTCTATTTTGAGGTTATGTCACAAACATCAATTTGCATCAAATTGTGCTTGGTTTTGAGTTATATCATGTTTTATCAGCCTGAAATTTCCTACAATTTAAAAGGAAAACAAATCTTCACAATAGGAGAGCGCTGACTCTGACACGGGCCAAGTGTAATCTAGAAATTTTTTAAGGAGAGAAAGGAGTATGACAATCAAGGAGGTCATAAACGCGTTCTTGAATTTATTTTAGGAAAGATATAATATTATTTGAATACATTTTTTCTTAGTCGGAACGCACCGTCACGACACTTGGACTGGCAGGTTGAAGCGGTAAATGAATTTCGCCCAAAAACCGATTTGCACTTCACAGCTTACGTTTATTTTGTATTATTTCCAAATGAAACTCTTGCAGCGTGCTAAAGACAAAGTCCACAGGGTGCTAGCGATCCACCTTTTCCTTTTTATCCACTAGGATCTTTCTAAAATATCAAGAAGTTGAGCACAAATAGTAAGCATTTCAATCCACCATAATTCTTGCGCAAATACAAAATTTTGTAAAAAGCTCTGATAGCACCCTAGGCAATTATGTCCTGCTTATATCCAGAAAAACATCACAAACTGCAGAACACAAATTGAAGGTAATGGCGAAATGGGTACATTTCACGGGTCATGAAATTCAAATGAAAATGCTGGTATAAAATCTACCAAATTATCATTCTCAAGAACATATTTCCTTGACATATCGATAATTTTAAAGTTCCACGCTAAATTCCCCTATACTTGACTGGAGTGATATCCGAATTTATTCTTCCCTACTGTCGGTAGTTGGCTTTCAAATCGTGAGCACATTATTCATCGGATTTTCATTACTTAAATTTCCTGTAATCACTGGGATCAAAAGCTTCTTAATATAATAGAACGAGTTTCACTGATTTCAACTCCCCCTTTTTAAGCAGTACAATTTTCTTATGTCAATGATTAGGAACCCCTGAAACGTCAAAAACAGAGTTTCAGCAATTGTTACTTTTTCTTTTTTGCCTATAGCACCGTTGCCAGTGGAGTAGAACTACAAAGCTTTGGCAGTGTGGAAATTTCATAAAAATCCGAGCGGTAATTTCCAAGTTGATGATGAGTAATACAGTTTTTCGTGATGTAGATGCCATATGGCTTAAAAAAACAACATCTCATTTTAGAAATTTTTCGCGATTACAATACTTCCTCGCCAATGGCGTGGGAAGTAAAACGGCTTTAAAATCGAGGAGTATCAGCGATCGCGATTATGAGTACCTATTTGCAGAACGAGTTATCTACGAGATATTATATGAAATAAGGCCACCAAATTATCTGAATACGTCCTTTCTTAGTCCGTACATTGCGCTACAACGCTTGTGTTGGCAGCACGAAACAGTAGACAAAATTCGTCCAAAATACGATTTGTAGAGGTTTGCGCGCTTCGGAATTGACGCTTTATTTTTTGATATTTTTGGATGAAATTTTCACAGTGTGCTGAAAACAAAACCCCACAGGGTGCTATAGAGCCACTTTTTCATTTTTTTCACTAGGTTCTTTTTAAAAAAATCGCGAAGTTGAACAGAAAAAGGGCGCACTTCAACCAATCATAAAGCTTCCGCAAAAACAAAATTTCAAAAAGTGCTCCTATTGCACCCGGGGCACTTATCTTCTCAACATACTGCATGAATTTCATTGAAAAATATTCAAAAATGGAGTGTCAGTTTTGAAGCAGCTGAACCCTTGTAAATGGCTTGAAACTCACTGCGTCGGAGCAGCCTTAAGCTTAGTACAAAGTACACTAGTAGTCCCCGTTGCGCAATTTGTCTTTAGGCAGTCTGGAGATGGTCTCAAGACACGATCTATAGATGGTCTATAGACATCCTTCTTTGTCTCGTCTAGCGTCCATACGATAATGTGAATTTTTCGGTCTCATGTTCGTTTTAGCCATCAAAGACATTGTTTTGTGTGGAATGGCTGGGATATATCGCGGAGTCCCTCAAAATGTTTTTTTTTTTTGTTAACAGAGCAATGAAGTTCTTTATGTTTTAATCTTTAATATTATTACACTAGTTAATTATAAATGCCACGTAATTCTTTTGTTCTCGTATAATAAAATATTGCCTTTCTGAGGATTTCTGAGAACTTTCCATATTTTTTTCAAGCTGGCATTGAACAGGTAGAACACAATGGATTTAAGGAGCAATAGGATAAATTCTAGAAGTTCCACTGATGTAGAAAAATTACCAGCCCCAAATATCGGTTGCGCCCCCCTCTAAACGAAACCCTGAATCCGCCCTTACAACCTGTTCTATTGTCATACCATGTAATCAATAAATCCCAGGTGTACTATAATAATTTTCTAATAAACTTTTAAAATATAATTTTGATATGTTAACAACAGCTCTGAATACGGTCCCGAAATTCATTATTGTCAACGTTACAAATTAATACAAAGATGCCGCTTTTGTGATCAGCTTGTTCACCTCAAAGCGTGATGGATACTCGTGAAATAAGGTATAACAAGGTCCAACAATAGCAATGGCAATGTGTCGTATACCGAAAACCAGATCTATCGATAAAAGTATAACTTTACGGTCCCATGGAATAGTGGAAATCCCACTTTTCAGTCCACGAACTTCTTTATCAACATAACCGTCCGATCTACATAAATTAACCTATGTTCGACACAGTGAAGGTGTTTTCTGAAAGTTAGAACCTCAGTAATTTTTAGGCAAAAGGCCCTCAGCCTGCCCTGATGAGTAGAAGTCAAGTCATGTGATTATACCCTGTTTCACGAATATCCATCACGCTTTGACGTCTACCGAGGTGAACAGCTGATCAGCAAGTGACATTTTTGTGTTAGCCTACGACGTTGGCAATAATGAATCGGGTGTAAATCTAGTAAAACTTGTTTGTAGCGTTTTGTTTTTTATGCAAATAAACTTTTCCAAATAGAAGAGATGTCAGCAAATACAAAATGAATCTGTTGCGTACAAAAAACCAAAACAAAATACGGCTGTGACTACCTGACGTTGGTGGATATTAGATAATAGATAATCAGCTGTTGTTCTACCATGGTATATCTCGTGAAATAGGGTATACAGTCACCGTAGGAAATCTCGGTTAATCGGGTTATCCCATGGGTTATCAGATGAAAATACGTTTCTTGTAACAAGCCCATCTCTACATGTCAAAAGGATGAGGATGGGTAGAGATTCGATGTATATGTTTTGTGTTCCTAAGTCGATGGGTTAAATTCGCCTTTGCAGGATTGTTGACGTTGTGGTTGACGTGTTTTGACATTTATAAAAAAGCTAGGTTATAATTTTAAAGTTATGTGTGAAAAATGGCAAAATTTAATATCAATTTGATAGATTTAGATGTAAATAAACTGTTCGAAGAACGTAGCATCGATAATATTATCCAATTAGAAAGATTATTAGATTCTGAAATAGAGAAAAAAAGAAACGCACTTAGATCCACAGTTGGGTGAGTTATCAATTTATTAATATTTCATACCCTTCTGGCAATCTATACTTCCCTTTTAGAGATCGTTACAAAGATGTTCTGACTGCATCTGATGCAATAAAGTCGATGAAAACAATATCGCAGGACATAGTGGACCATATTGACAAAATAACGAGTACCTGTGGAAATCTACTTTTAGCACCTTCCAATGTCGATTTGAAATCAAGTTTTCCTATTGGGAAGTAAGTAATGTAATCTGGCTTGATGCCCGTATCATATGATCTTGGTTTTCATGTTTTTATCCTTATAGGAACAAATTAGATGAAAGAACATTTGTGGTCCAGGTTCGGTTAGCAATTTTTCTAAATGAACAGATATGGTTAGCTTTGGATCAAGAAAATAATTTAGATGCTGCCCAGTACTATTCACTTGCCCAATATATACATACAGGTTTGTAATCATGATTGAACATGGTTGTGTTCAGTCACACATAGTGGCTACAAGCAAGTTCTGTCTGAAGTATAGCATAGCATAATCTATAGGATGTTATTTGAATGGATGAATTTGAAAATTGTAAAATCCTTGAGATGGATTGATAGGGATCATGTATGTGAATGTGATTCATCAATAGTGAAGGATATTAATTTAGCAACTGAATACACAGCACTAGCTTGTACCAAGTATGTGCAGCTGAAGATAAACATTGTTGAGCTTTTTTTTCTACAACTTGTTTTAAAATTTGCATATTTTCTAGGTTTGGGGCTGTCCAAAAAGGAATTCCTGGATAAAATCCCATATTTAGAACACATAAGAAATCAAAAAGAGTCACTTAAAAATAGGATATTCCATAAAATTACTGAGAAGTTAGAATCAGTAGAAACAACAGCAGAGGTAACATTCTTGAATCTCAAAGATCAAGCAAAACATCTATTCAGGATGTTACTTAATGTAATATACTTATTTAAGTGGTTGACTATTAGGTCAATTAATTAGAAATTAACATCAGATGAATATATTACACAGCATAACAAGGGGTATGAATGGCAACTATGGGTTGGTGCTTCACATTATCTGCCTAGTGGCATGGTTAGACCTATAACTTAACTCAATATCCTCTTCATCAGGGTGTTGATTCTTGAAATGACTGACATGAATGCTCTTAGAAAATGGGCATGATATTTTCATTGCTATTTTATCAACTTTAATACATGTGGTTTCAAAACATGTTTCCATAATTTCAGGTAATTATTTGCATGATAGATGAGTGCTTAATGCAATTTCAAGAGGATTGTATTATTAGCATGAGAATATATGTTTATAAAACTAGAACCAGTATCATATGATAAAATCAAACAGGATTGAACATAACCACAACTTATGGAGATTTTTATGTAGACATACAATTACATAAACTTAGCTCATACTGATTATACATTTGAAAATCGTAATTTAAGTAATGGAGTCATTGGTATAACTCATCTTGTCAGCGCATATGTATAAATCAAACAATTACATTCTTTTAAAAAACTAAAACAATTACATAACATACGGATATTTAGAAAAACAAAATTTGCATCTCTTAAAATTTTCACTGTCCATGAAATATTCCTTTAATTTTCTTTAAACATCTTCAAATTACAAGTAGACTTTACACCATTATTTAGTATATTAAATTCAAGTAATGGATTCTGAAATATTGATTTGCTAGTTATATTACTATTGCAATTTTGTAAATGAAAATCTATATTTCCTATTGTATAATAATTGTGGTAATGATTATTCAATTGTATATAAATGTTGCGGCAAAAGATGATTTTTTATTTTAAATATAAAAATAGGAAGTATGATATGAAATTTTTTATACTCAATCACTGCAATTCTTGTAACATAGATTTTATTTTTGTGTACTTATTTTTATTCAATATTTGTCTCATAGCTGTATTTTGCAGGACTTGTAGTTTTGAGAATTTTTTTATTGGCAGTGAACAATAAATGAGGTGGAATAATTGTATCATAAACTATTTTGTTGGAATATTTACTAAGACTATGAGAATCCCTATATGATAATGATCTTCAAACTTTAGTTTACTACCAATATGTATACCTAAATAAATATATACATAAATTTTGTTTTAGAAGCATTCAACTTTAGTTTATTTACATTTAACCAACTTATGGTTTTTGCATTTTTAAAGCAGTGTCTATATTTTCATCTGATATGTTTATTAATATATCATCTGCAAATATCTAAATTTTACAATAATCTAAATATTATAAATGTCGTTAATGTATAAAATTAATAGTTCTGGACCTAGCTTACTACCCTGTAGTCCATCAACAGAAATATTTGTTGAGCTTGATAATGTAGATCTAATTTTGGTTTTTTGACATTTGTCAATTAGGTATTTTTGTGGAATTTTGAATACAGACCCTGAAAATCCGTAGTGATGCTATTTTGTAAGTAATTTATCCATGTCAACAGTTTCAAACGCTCTTTTGAAGTCAAAAACAAAGTCACTGTATGTTTCCTATTGTCCATACATCTCCTCCAGTCCTCTAAAACCATTTGTATTGCCGCTTCAGTTGAGTGTTTCTTTCTGAATCCAGCTTGACATTTAGTTAACATTTTATTTCCCTCGATAAATTCGATGATCTGTTCGTAAATAATTTCCTTAAAGGCTTTTTCAACAACTGGCAGCACATTTATTGGCCGCATATTGGTATACAACTCAGAATTCTTAACTTTTTGAACAGGAATTTATCATGATCAATTTTTCTTGCTCCAATCATATCAAAACATTCATTAAGCACACTTTTAGACAAAATCTCAGTCTTATTTTGATTTGATTTCAATTTTGATATAATCTTGAGACGAATAATGTTCATAAACTCACTGAATGATGTATTATAATCTGATCGAATGGGACATTGGTTGCGTCAATAATTGATCTTACAATGTCGTTGATACTTTCTATGAAATAGGTCATTCGATCTCCTGTTATTTTTTCATTTGTCATTTGCCCCATCGTCGAACTTCATTTTAGATAATGTATTTCTTCTAATAGGAGAAACAAAATTTTTCAACGTTTTCCACATCTATTTGCTATTATTTTACTGTCATCAATTTTGGTATCGTAATATTTTTTCTATTCATCTCTACAGGGTTTCCTGATCTTGTGTATTCTAGACAATCATTTTCACTCCCAGTAATCATAAACTTTCTATAATTGTAGTCTCTTTTTAATTTAGAATCCTTGAAGGAATGAGTCCTTGTATCAAGGTGTTGGATTTTTCTTTTTACAAATTGTTGTTGTACTGTAGCTTCTTTCATGCAAATTTCAATATTATTCTATAAACTTGTATGTATATATCAACAAACATTTCAGTCATATCTTGCACTAAAAGAGCTTCTCGTTATTTTGCATAGTTAATATTAGTAATTTCTTCCACTTTGCTACTTCTTCCAACTTCAAAACATATCCATGAATGATCTGATCTTAGGAGTATGCATAACTTTTGCAATTAAATTTTGTTCGTTGGTTATTATCAAATCTATAATTGTTCTAGATTGATTTGTAATTCTGGTGTGATCATAGACTTTTTGACATAGTCCATAAACACTGAGTACCTGTTTAAATCTCTTTGCGTAGAAGTCATGATTATCAAAGTTTATATTAAAATAACCCAAATGTACCGTGATGCAGTTTCGATGAAAATGTTTCTCACAGATATTTCCGAAAAAATCTATAAATCTGTTTATATTTCCAGTTGGAGAGCTGGTAAATATGTAAATTATAATTGGGCTTAACATTTAATTCAACATGACATAGGAAAACGTTATCAAAGAAAAGTGGCAAATGAGATTCCTCATTTCAAAATGTTCCTAAACATTTCTTCTGTCTGCGTCTGCACCCTCAATCAAACATTTTGATTAACATCTTGAGGGATAGTGATACGCTAAAATTACAACTGGGAATATTGTTCATAATTGTGATAATATAACCCAAACGAGCCAAATAAAGAAAAAGCTTTTTGGAAAAGTCCAAAGTGAAGACAATGTTGTTTTGTTTCTACGATTTGAAGGGAATTATTTACAAAGAATTCGTTCCACCTGGCCAAACGGTTAATGCTGTGTTTTATCTTAGTGTTATGAGGACGCGTATTCGTCGTGATCGGCCAGAATATATTCACTGACTCATCGATCTACGCTTGTGTCCGATTTTTTGACAAAAAAATGGCATTTTAACCATCAACTACTCTCCATATTCTCCTGATATGTCACCATGTGGCTATCTTCTCTTCGGTAAACTACATTTGGGGACAGCGGTATGCCGACGTAGAGGCAATCCAAAAGGCGTCGACGGCCATTTTGAAGGACATCCCGATCAGTGAGCTAAATTCATCAATCTTTTGGTTCATGCAAATCGCTGTATCAAGTCTGAATAAGACTATTTTGAATAAAATAAGTTCGATTTTCCGAAACAAAAAATGTTTGTTAATTTTTTCTCTGTCCTGTTTACTTTGCGACATACCTTGTAACTCTCTAAAAATTTTTAGTTGGAGAAACATTTTCCAGAATGTTTGTTTTTGGAAATGACTCATATTTTCCTTACAGTATGAATAAAAGGGCTGACATAAATCAGTTGAGTGTAATTTATTCCTATTTACTAAATTGTGAAAAATTGACTATTGATAATAATGTAGCGTTTTTTGGGTTCTTTTGGGTGTGGATTAAAACACTGGATTCCACAAAAAGAAATGCACTAATTTATTTAACTTGATAGAACATTTATATACACCACTATTTATGTTTGACTAATCCTTATGTCGCCATTGACTGCACTATACTCCACTCCGCTCTGCACTGGTGTAATCTGTACTCTCTGCTTCCATCTCCCGGCCGCCGAGTTATATACAGTCCCAATTGCTGCTTCGAGAAAGGCCGGGTGAACCACAAAGCGAGATCTAGAATATTGGAGGTCACTTCGCGGCGATCTAGAAGACGATCCACTGTCACGGTCCTCACAGACGCCGCCTAGCGGCTTGTGCGGTCGTGGTTCGCGTAAAAGCAGAGATCGGATATTAAGCTCTGGCGAGTAGGAGACTCGCCCAACAGATGGCGCCTATTTGTCACACTGCCCCCTCCCTAATTTCCCGGAATGATCTTACTGGCGGTGGATGTCGATATCGGCACAACGGCCCTCTCTTGCAGTAGGAGTTCTTGAAGAAGTAACAATCCACACTCTTTCCAGGAGGTAGCCGTCTAGGATTGTGACAACATACCAGAAATCGAATGCCTGTATACCGGAAGACTACCTCAAGCATGCTTCGAATGATTCTCCAGTCCAGGTTGCCCAGTCCACATGCCAGCTTAGGTATTGCCACTTTTCTCAGGTCCTCGGCAATTAAGACTTCTCTGAGCGAATACAAAGCGTTTCCAAACATCTTCGTAATTCGGTTTCTGATACGAAGCTTTCTTGGTAACTAGATAGAAGATCTTTCGGTTGGTACCCTCTTCAGTTATCTGGAGTACTTTTCCGACTTCCGGGTTACATTGTCGCAGATGGTGCACTCTTCCAAACTTCCTAAGACCGTTGGAGTCACACAGTGTGCCAGGGCATACTCCGGTGAAGTGGTAAACAGATCTTGCTGTAGTTCTCACACCATTCCGACTCTTATGGTCATTAGCATGGTGAGCTGTAAATTGGTCAGATGACATGTACGGTTCTGGTTGGATTTGCCGCACCGCCGTATCTTCGTTGTTTCCATGATAAGGTGCAAGGCGGTTGAAATGTACAGTTCGGGCTTCACCGCGTGGTGCCTGCTGAATCCTGTAGAGAACATCGTTAAAGGCCTCCAGAACTTTATATGGCCCGTCCCAGGATGATTGAAGTTTAGGCGACAGCCCTTTTCGCCTCTTTGGGTCGTAAAGTCAAACCGTATCACCGTGGTCATACCTCTGGTCTTTGGCATTAACGTCATAAGCTTCTTTCATCCGGTCGCTGGCACCTTGAATTGAAACACGAACCTGGCTATGGATGGCGTCTATTCTTCTACGTAGCTCACTTACGTAGTCTTCTCTGGCAATGTCAGTTCCTGGTGGACAGCCAAACTTTAGATCGCATGGGAGACGAAGTTCTCTTCCCATAACTATTCTAGCCGGAGTCTCTCATGTGCTTTCATGAATCGACGATCGGTAAGCCAATAATAAGAGTTGAAGAAAACTACCCCAGTCTCTTTGACGGCTAGAGACTACCTTAGCCAGATACCGGTTAATGGTCCTATTCATGCGCTCCACCATTTCATCTGATTGCGGGTGTAAGGCAGTAGTCCTGGTCTTCTTAATCCCAAGAATTTGACAGATACTTTGAAACAAATTTGACTCGAAATTGCGCCCTTGGTCCGAATGCAACTCTAAAGGTACACCAAATCGACAGATCCTTTACTTTACAAAAGCATCGGCTACCGTAGAGACTTCCTGATTTGGCAGAGCGAATGCCTCAACCCACTTGCTGAAGTAATCCATTACCACAACGATGTATTTATTGCCTGCTTCACTTTCTGAAAAGGGTTCCGCCACATGAATAGCCATCCTTTGAAAGGGGCTTCCCACGTTGTATTGGCGCATCGAAGCTTTTGGTTTCCCATTACTTGCCGCACACACAACGCATTCTCTGCACCAGTCTATTACGTCGTCCTTGCTATTGAACCAGTAAAGTGTTTCTCTCACTTTTCCCAGGGTTTATGTAACTCCGAGATGACCTCCTAACACACCGGAATGGATTTCTTCTAGCAGCTCCGGGATCCGACATCTGGAGATAACGATGTATCTTCTTTCCTCTTTGCCATCGTGGTCCACCATTTTACGCAGTAAGAGTCCGTCGTCCATAACAAAGAGAATTTCATTGTGCCCATTATGATTTTATGGTAGGGGAATACTTGGCAACTTCTTCCCAGGCTGGTTTCCTTTGTTCTTTCATCCAGTTCAGAATTATTTGGAGATCGGGGTCGCCATCTTGGTCTTTAATGAGGTCTTCCTTTTTCCAAGTATCACTAACAACAGTGGTCCTTAATACTTGGGCGTCTTTCTCCTCTGCCCGCTGTCAATGCTTACAATCCTCTAAGCAGCGTATCCTAACGTGCCCTATTTTCCCACATTTCCAACATTCCAACTTGCTGTTCTGGCGACGTCGTTCACCATCAAGTTCCTTAATAATGCGCTTCACGGACTCTTCGAATTCATTATCTCCTGGTACCATCTGGCGGACTCGCTCCTGGCATATATTTGTGTTTTTAGCGGCTTCGAATCAAGGGCCCAAGTTAGCGCATCTACTAGCTTAGGTGGATGTGCTAGTAGTAAGGCTGGCCTCATTTCACCATCACGAAGTCCATCCAGGAACGCTTGAACTGCCAATCGCTCCATTATCCTTTTCTGAACATCGGGATATGCTAATCGTACCAACCTCGCAATATCCGCTTCGAACTCCTGCAAGGACTCGCCTGACTTCTGGAACCGATTCTTTAGTTGAGTATGGTAGACATGTTCTAAATGTGACTGGCCATATCGCATCTCCAAATGTCCTTCCGTCTCCGTGCTTCGCGTAAAAGCGAGAGATCGGCCATTAAGCTCTGGCGAGTAGGAGACTCGCCCACCAGATAGCGCATATTTGTCACAATAATAAATCTTTTTCCAATATAAATAAATGATTTTCAAAAAAAATCATTTACCTTAATAATTTCGGTATATTTATATTATTCCTACTTCTCTTGTACTATTATTTCATTCACAAGTCGAATTTGTCCCTCACCTGTTTTTTTGCTGGCGTGTTCATTTAGTTTTGTTGTGTCAAAATAATGTCATAATTTTTTCTTCTTAAAGAAATACACATGCCTTCGAAATATGATTGTAATTTTTTCAATAATAACATAATGTGAGTCTCATATTTGATCTTGTATCTGGACATGAAGTTTAATCACTTGTTCAATTTTTTCACAACATCGACCTCAACGACTTAGTGAGTAGTTTTTTGCTTTATCAACTGAAAAATTTTGCTACTTTAGTATCATTTCCAGCTCCATGATGATGATTTGATGGTTGCATAGTTGACTGAATCCTTGAGAAAATAAAAGTTAAAAGAGCACTCCTATAGCTAAATTTTGCCGCATTTCCCGAAGTTAATTGTTTACTAACTAGTTATTGTTCGGCAATGACTATATATAATTGTAGTATTGAATTGAGAAAAAAAACTAACAGAAGCCAAAAAAAATGTATTATTTTTATGTAATTCAATTTAATGTGTATACATATATTAACGTTATAATATTTCAGTTTAATGAATTTTGTTTGTTTCAAAATTCCGTATAAATTTGTTAGATTTAGATATAGATAAATTATTCAAAGAATGTAGCATAGATACTATTATCGAACTTGAAAGAAAATTGCTATATTTCAATCTAATGTTTTTTTTTTTGTTTCAGGATACTAGCAAAAATTTGAATGCTTTATTACTGCTACAAAATGTAACTTGTGAAAATCTATTAAGTATTTTCATTGAACACCGCAAAACAGCCTTAAGTACTGTTATAACTACATCATATTCCAGTGTTAGAGTACAAGTTTATTCGATGGTGAAATGCCTGATCACTACAATTCATCTCCTACATCACTGTTTCATCTGTATGTGTGAATATCATCACTAATCACTAGTACTTTTATTTCATTGAATCTTGGTTCAAGGTTATGGTGGGAGTGACAAAGGATTGATTTGGCAACAACTAGAGGAGATTGTCTCAGAGTCTTCACCAAAAACTTTATCAAAGTTGCAATTACCAGCATCATCTTTATTATTGTATATACCAGAGATCATCAAACAGTTTAGGTGGGCGAGGATTATTCTATTATACTATACCTACAAGGTGGCCCAATATGTTATGTAATGCAATATATGTTTTACTAGACGTTCTAATATTTGACTCTTACTGAAAACTCTAAAGGGTTCGTTAAATTATAGCTGAGTTTTGGCAACTTTCCCGACGTTTGTTTTTTTTTTATTTAGCAGATCTCCTCATTTACTCAGGCCATCTCGTATAGTTTTCAAGAAAAAAAAATTGTTAAATAAAAAAAATCAGACTGTAATTTATGTAGGGGTACACCCACCCCTTCTCGAACCCTTTCGGGGTTTTTGTAAAAGTCAAACTTTCTGACGTCTAGCAAAACACGTGTGTACCGAATTTCATTCAAATCGGACTATCGGTTCCAAAAATATCTGAAGAAATGTATTTTAAAAAGAAAACTTTGTCTCCCTCTAACGGAATAACGAAGCACTATTGCACAAAGGTTAATCATGTCCAATGAACTTAGCCTGAGTCTAAAAATGCGTGGTATTTCTATGTCCTCGGAATATTGGGACACGCTGTATATATCCTACCGTTCAAAAGTATTTGAATACCTGCATATTTCCAATCAAAATCACAACAAACAAAAAAAGCTATTCAATACGTATTTATTTTTCTTTATGCATTGAAAACCTTCACCATGGAAATTAAGCAACACTGAAAGGTCATTGACACGAAAATTTTGCTCACTATTATTGGGATCTCATCATTAGCCATAATAGGAATTTATTTGCTTTCGTGACTTCAGAAGGTATCACTGTCATCTGTAGACTACATTATTAAGAAATTTAAGGCTCAACATCCAACAGCCGTCGTTGAGGGAGATCCAGAGTTACAACTTCCACAGCAGACTTGAACATAATAGTGAAAAATAAACGAAATAGATTCATGACTCCATCAGGAATAGCAGCGGACTTGAATGTGAGCCGTAGTAAACCTGTAAGTGTGACTCTAGTTAAGAGAAGGTTACTTGAAGCTGGACTTTGATGCATAGCAGTATCGAAAGCACTCCTCAGGGCTACTTACGAAAAAAGAGGCTGATCTGGACCAAACAACATCAAATTTGGACAATTGCTGACTGAAAGTAGGTCCTCTGGAGCGATGAATCGAAATTTGAAGTTTTTGATTCCAAGAGAAGAGTATTTGTCCGCCGTCGGCCTAACGAGAAGGCATTAGATTCATGCACCCTCACTTCAGTCAAGCTCGATGGTGGCACTATAATAATTTGGGGCTGTTTTGATGGTTCCGCTTTGAAGGATGTTGTGAGAGTACAGGGAATACTGAATAAAGATAGTTGCAAAGCCATATAACAAAATGATGTTGTGCCTTCTGGAACTCGAATTATTGGTCCGGGTTTGTCTTTCAGCATGATAATGACCCCAAACACACATCCCAGCTGTGTAAAAAATTTTTGGAAGCAAAAGACGAACACAATATTTTGCAATGGCCTTCCCAATCCCCGGATTTGAATCCGATAGTTGCTGTGGGAGGAACTGGACAGACAAGTGCGGAAATGTTATGCTACATCTCAAGAACACTTAGAAATATTAGTTGCGCACTTACCCATCATTTGCTAAGCTGTAATTAAAAGTTAAGGAGTACATATTGAGTCAAAAATATGATTATTTTGATTATAAGTAGTTGTATGTTGTTAAGAGTTAAGAAAATAAATGTTTCAAACGTATATTGTAATGTTTTCTTCAATTACTTCTATCAGTTTCCTTGTTTTCTGGGTGTTCAAATATTTTTGAACGGTAGTATATATATAAAAAATATTTATGAAACTAATAATAATTTTTTTAGGCCAAAATGTAATTTCTCGACGGACGTTGTGAATTCACTGAAAGAAGCAAAATCTGTAGTTGAATGTTGGCTACAGTGTACTTTGGTGACAGTTGAAGATGGATTAAAAAAAGCATTGCAACTTATTACTAATATAAAAGGTTTACATTTAACGCGAGAGGAATCACTGAAAATAGGTAAATATGTTTATTTTCTATGATTTTTTTAAATACATGAAGCATCTGATTTATTTTCAGACTTGCCAGAAAATTGGGAAAACATTTGTAAGGAATCGCATCTTCCAGAGCATTTTGACGTTTGGTCATACTTTTTTCAAAAGTTCATCACACTTCGCTGTAGGGAACTGATAACCAAAAAAGTTTCAGAAAATACGAGTCAGATACAAAATTGTATTTCATATACTCTAGATCAAGTTCTGAAATTAGGAAAATCTGAGCTTGATTTAAGATGGTATTCCTGGGTGGAAGAACCAGGTGACATCAGTAGGAGTGAAAACTGTCATCGAGGTAATTCTAATAATAGCTGGTGTGAAAGATGAATGTCAGGATAATGTTAAAGCTTCTTACTTGGTAATGGAACGACAACGAGTTATTCTTCTTCGGCAAGCGATAAGGGTGATATGACCGCATTGTCGGGGCCCCATACCTATTTTTAGAAAAATGATTTGAGTACCTCCCATGTTCATCAGACTTATAACATGCACAACTCTACAACCTTCGGATTACATTAATATTATCCGCAGTGGTACCCTTCATCATACAGATTATTTATGATTGATCATATACTCGTCCGCATTTCAGGTAACCAAAACACTGCCACCAATAGCACAGTAACACTGTAATTAGGTACATAAAGCGAACTACTTGATTTTAGAAGCGACCGTTATACCCATTTGCGTGTAAATGACGCCAGTGCCCAGAAGAATGGAATGTATAACATAAACAGGCCTATGACTTATGAACCCTCTAGAAGGAACTCATGTGCTAAAGAGTTGAGCTGTCATGCAAAAATGTGTTTAAAATATTTCTTATGCTTACACTAGTTTTCCTTTATAAGCTTTTGGAAACATTGGTTTCAGTGCATCCTCACATTTAAAATCAACTACTACAAAGTTCTGAAGAAATTCTTTTCAGATAGCTCTTAACCAACTTCTCAGCTAGCGTCTTAAACCTCAAAGATCTGTAACGTCAAGCAAATAGAGGGTAAAGTGTGAACACGATCTAATATCTTGAGACGTAGTGAACCATAGTTTGAAGAGTGGAATAATTGAGATTACCCTGTTGTCGACAGTTATGCTATTTATTCAGGGACCGCCTTGCTTTTCTAAATTTAATTGCAATACTTGTATATTTTTCATTGTCCGATATTAACACTCTAGCATTGACTGGTATAAATTCCAAGTTGCACAACTGTGTCAGTAAAATTATGAAAATATGGCAATATAATCAAAGGTCCCACCAAATTATATTTTTTTAGAAAAAATCAACAAATCTGATGTTTTCGATAAAATCGTGATTTTTTTCTTATCAAATTGTACTTAACTTTTCTTTAAATTTGGTACTAATGAACTTTGAAGTAACTTATTTTCATTATTTTCCTCTATTCGCCCAAGAATATTTGTTGTCTAGATTTGTAAACTGGTGGACAGTTCCTTTGCTACATGGAATGGACCATTTTACCCAAATTCTCATCTCGATATTTTCGGTACGGATATCGAGTTACGATATTCGGGACGTTCTTGACCAACTGTTTGAAAATATGTACAGGGCTCGACCGATATATTTCCTTTATTTATTCGCTTATACAGGGTGAGCAAAGGAAGTAAGTTTTTTAGCAAAGTTTGGGGCTATGTCAGATTCTCAGTTTTTGATCTTTGAACTATCCTAAGGAAAGAAATTTTTCAAATTTTTCGAAAGTTGGCTATAACTCAAATTATCGAATTTTGAAAAAGTGTTACATGTATCACTGAAAAAGGAACTTTTTGGAATTTCTTGGGCCAGAGAAAATATTGAAGCACTCATTGAACTCTATTGCCTGCAGTGGCGTGCAGTAAAAATGTGCTACTTTGACATTATGTACTTTAAACCGAATTTATAAATTGTACTCTGCAATTAAACAGCTTAATTAACAAATACAGGATACTACTTTAATATAGGGGTGTATTCCAGTGGCTTAATACCAAAAGCATTTTTTGGTTTGGTAAGAAGTGATAACTTAAAAATTTTTATTTTTCAAAATGCTACGATGCTGGCGAACACTGCTATTCATCTTTTATCTGGCAGTTTTTATCTTTCTCATTCAGCATTGGCGTACGCATCTTCATTGGAGATGTTTTCCAATAGGTAATACACTTTATCAAATTTTTAAACAACATCAAAGAATTTATTGATTAAGATTAACAATATGCAACATTTTAGAAAACAAAAATTTGAAGACCAGTTAAATACCTAAATTATTTATTTATGACAAAACAGCAACAGTTAATTTGAACAACATTGTTAGTACCTTGTGAGGCCACCACCCCGCACATCGATCACAGCCTTGCATCTTCGTGGCATACTTTCCAGAAGGTTATAAATAATTTCTCGGAATACGCTTTCCCACTCTTCCTGAATGACCTCAGACAGCTCTTCCATTGTTTGAGGAGCATTTTGTCTGGACCGCACTAAAAATTTTGGCCGAGAGCACACATGCTCAATTATGTTTAGGTCTGGAGACTTACTTTGATGGCAGGGGCAATAATGTAACATTATTTTCTATCAAAAAGTTTATAACCGTACGAGCTCTGTGCGGCCTGGCGTTATCATCGATGCAAAAACTCTTGCGAAAGGTACAACATTATTGTTGTCCCTATAAACTGCAGCATTGACTGTCCTGTTTGAAATAAAAAGTTGGGTTTTACCATTGTACATAACCCCAGCCCAAACAGGACTGCCACCTCCACCAAACGCCTCTTGTGGACCCATGTTTTCTTCATCATATTGTTCCCCAGCTGGCGTCCAAACAAGGATCCTACCATCTTATGGGTATAGGTTGAAGCATATTTAATGGGAAAACGTGGAATTTTGCCACTGCTGATGAAAATATACCCGCTACTGAGCCCATTGGTATCTGGCGACTCTATGATTGTTCAAGAGTTGGGTACCCTTGGCGCGACGCCTTGCTCTCGAAGTAATGCTACTTTAAAACAGTACCTAGCAAAATTTTTATAACATTTACATACCTTAAAAAATCAGAATTTAAAGTTCTTCTTACAGTTGCTTGGATTATCTCCTCCATGCAAGTATGACGTTTCCCCATTATTCTGACATCTACGCCTTAAACGGTATATTGAGGACCGATCAACATTATAAATGGAAGCTACATCATTCACTAAACGACCTTCTCCCAATAATCTTATACAATTCTCTTCTTTCCTTTTGAAAAAGACGATGTATTTTTGAGAAAATAACATTATACTGTCAAGTCTACAATAAATATCATTGTTATTTAGCAATTTCATGTTTGAGGTGTAGGTAGTTGGCATGGAGAGGATAATCCAAAAAAATACGAGGTCGAGCCAAAAGTCATTTATTGCGGAAAGTAAAAAATTCGGTAATTCAAGTTATAGCCAACTTTCGAAAAATTTGAGTTATCACTATTTTCAGGATAATTCACAGTTCAAAAAGACGCATAGAAAAATGTCCAAGATCAAAAATTGAGAATCTGACATAACCCCAAACTTTTCTAAAAAAACATGACTCCCTTTACCCAGCCTGTATAAGAGGGTAAATAAAAGAAATATACCGGTCGAACCCTGTTCTCAAAGAGTTGGTCAAGAACCTCCCGAATGCCGCAACTCGATGTTTCTTTCCATTCCGAAAATATCGAGATTTGAATTTGAGTAAAATTTTCCATGTTGCAAAGCGACTGTCCACCTGTTTAATAAGAAAATCTTCTCGGCGACATACAAAAGAACTTCCCTGTCGGAACGAGAAATTTCGTTCGCCTTTATAGCCGGCCCATACGTTCTTAAGTAAAATGCGTGTTGCTATTTCCTATCCTTTCTTGTTTAAATCTTAAATTCTAGTGTGTTTTCAAAAGATAGCTGAGCTGTCCAAAAGTGGTGGTAGAAAAAAGACCCTTTTTGGCAATATTTCATTGAAAAATCGAATAAATCAGGAAGTAGAGCGAGCTGTAAAAAATGCAAATTTAAATTACAAGGATTTTTTTAAACGGACGAAAAGACACTGGGAGGTGTCGGAAAACGGAAGCGGTTCAATTTGTAATTAGGTTTGTGGACAAATAATTTATCGTCAATTGAGTGAATGTATGAATGCAGTTCATAAATATTTATACACATTTGTGTAAATAAATCAGTACGTTAGTAAAGTTTCGTTGAAAATGGTGTCAAGTAGCCTGACTTGGTTCGTTCCAAGCCTTGATATAAATTCTAGCCAGGTTTTGCTTGCATACAAATTTGAGCCATTCGAAGTATATTGTGTGACTCGTTTGTCACAAGCGGGTTGAGTTTAGCCTAGGAGAGAAAGAGTTTTGGGAATATATAACGAGATTTTTGTTTCTCTAATAAGAAATGCCCCTTTTTGCAGGGCATAAGGCACCTACAATTGTTTTGAATAGGTTCAATGAAAGTGTAAAGCACTGGTCTGAAACACAAGGCAAGTTTATACAGGGTGTCCCAATATTTTTTGAACATAGACGTAACACGTATTTTTTACTCTAAATAAGTCGATTGGACATGATTCACCTCTATGCAAAAGTGCTTCGTTTGTCCGTTGGAGGACGTCAAAGTTTTTTTGAAACACATTTTTTTAAGAACCGATAGTCCGATTTGAATAAGATTTGGAATACATTGTTTTGCTAGACTATTTGACTTTTACGAAAAACTTTAAAGGTTTCGAGAAAGGTGAAGACTACACGGACGACTCTGAATTTTGTTTATTTAGCAGATCTTTTTATTTACTCCATTTTTTGTCTCCTATAAAAACAGACCATCTCGGATAGTTTTTGAGGTGCAAGCGTCTTATTAATTCCTCAAGTGTAATTAGCGAAAACAAAGTATGGTATTACTTATGGCAATTCTATTTAATTACAGGCAATAAAGCGCATCTTTCATAGAAAGTGTTCAATATGACCACCATTTTTGTTCCTGCACATAACAATACTGCGCAAAAATTATAGATAACTTTCTATAAGATGTCATTACCTCGTATACCGTTGTGTTCAATGCTCCACATAAGACTGTAACAAAAGTTTGGAACGCATCAAATATCTGACGAATGACTCATCTATTTTTTTTAATTGGTAGGTTTAGGTTCGAAACCACGGCGAATCCGATGATGTTGCCAAATCTAAATTTTTTCAGAAACTGATAGCAACTTTTATTTTTCTTATGGAATGCTATGCATTTTATTCGAATACTTTTTATTAAACATATTTTGACGTAGACCTCATAGTTTTCGAAATAACAATCAAAGGTATTTTTCCACCTAAGCAATGACCGGTATGAAAAATGATTTCCTGTAATTTCTGACATTGAAAAGTCCATTGAGTTTTGTTAGTAGTGTTAATAAAAATATGATTTATTTAACATACCAAGAGGATTGAAATTCTAATATTGATTAAAATAGTGTATTTGATATTCCAAGGAAACAAGAGAAAAAATAAAAACAAACAGAACGATAAAACCCAGTTGTTAATTTAAACTTCAAAACATAATAAAAATCATATTAAATGTTCAAATTGCCAACCATATACTTCTTGGCAATAAGCTAGATATTACGGAAATGCGTTTAGAACATTTTGAAGATATCCGCTTTTCTCGATTCTTCTGCATTCATTTTATATTCATTGTTTTAGCTCCTCCAAATCAAATGGTTTGGTTTTGTATACCACATTTTTTAAGTGCCCCGACAAAAATAATCGTGGGGTGTGAGGTCAAGAGTTCCGTTCAAAGAAAAACTTGATTAATCCGAAAATATCATTTCGTACAAGAAATGTTCATTTCTATTACCCATGTCCATCATGGTCTCACAGTATTGTAAACCCCTGTCAAAATCATGATTTGATGGCTCTTGTACCAAGATGACTCGGTAGGGATGGAATTTTTCCGTCTTTGAAATGCGTTCCACAGACATGTGAGATGTATTATCTTCACCAAGTGTTCAAGAAGAAAGATGGGGGTTTTCCGCTAAGCTCACTAAAATATTCAAAGCCTTATTTTCGTCAGTGGCTGCTTTGGGACGGCCAGATCGTGAAACATCCTTAACATATCCTGTTATTTCAAATTTCGTCAAAACTTTGCCAACAGTGGACCTTGTTATTGGATTCCGTTTGGAATATTTGTCATTAAGTATATCGCTTCTTGCTGTGTGCCTCGGCGGTAGCTACATATAACCCAGAATTTTTGGAAATGATATTCTCAAGGTTTCAGTTGAATGGATCATTCTCAATAAATTTACTAACAAAACTCAATGGACTTTTGAATGTCAGAAATGACAGGAAACTACTTTCGATACCAGTTATTGCTTAGGTGCAAAAAATACATTTTATTGTTTGAACATTGATGTTTGACCGCGAATATTTCGAAAACTACGAGGTGTACGTCAAAGTATGTTCGATAAAAGATATTCAGAATTTCTCGCAGAATACAAATATCGAATAAAATGTGCATTCCATCAGAAAAACAAAAATTGTTATCAATTTCCGAAAAACTGTAGATTTGGCAACATCGCGAATATCATCAACGGATCCGCCCTGGTTTCGAACCTAAACCTATCAAATTCTTAAAAAAGTGGGATGAGTCATTCTTCAGATATTCGATGCGCTCCAAACTACTGTTACACACTGAATAAAAAATCGCAAACATTAAAATCCGGAGATTGAGGTGGCCATTGAATAGGACTTTCTTGACCTTTACCAATCCTACCTCTATAATCAAACCTCTCGTTCAAGTAATGTCTTACACCATCGTGCATTATCCTTATCAGGCAACCCATATGGACCAACTAAAAACTTACCAATAATCCCCTTCCAAACGTTAATTTTAAATTACCATTGAAAATATCTGTCTGAAACTGCATGCGGATTTTCTTCAAACAAAACTCATCTGTACACAAATTTTTCTTGTTAAATGACCTATCACTTGTTCTGCGTTCTGCTGTTCTGATACATTTTGTACAAATCTCAATCGTAAGTGATGGTCAGTAAGCAATAATTCCTGACAGGCTGGACGTGAAAGGAACGAATTGTTCATTTTAAATCCGGTGTTTTTTTCTGAACTCGTAGTACATGTTCTTCGACCCCTTCAAGAACAGCTTCTTCCACTAGCGGTGTTCGGGTTTGCCGCAGTTTCCCAGCGTTAACTCCTCAGAGGTTTGAATCGGCCAATTTCTCGAAGTCGACGTTCTCTTTTCGCACCGGCGGGCCGTCGGCGATCTAGCTCTCTTCTACCGCTACGCCAATGGGCTTTGCTCCTAGAAGCTCTCCTCCATGATGCTGCCGCGTGATGTGCCTGCCAGACAGACCCGCCTGACTTGAGCCTCCCATCCCAACCGTGTCGAACTTCGTACATTCAAAACTGGCCGATACGACCGCTCATTTGTCCCCAGAGTATCGAGATTGTGGAATAATCTACAAGAGGATACTTTTCCTATTTCTATTAACCTTAGACGGTTCAAAAATCAGATTAACAAACTTTCTTTAAGATCCTCATAGAAGCCGCGGTGTCGTGGCATTTCAAGATGAGTTTAATGTAGTTGACGTCGGCTGTGGTTTAATATTACGATTATTTCGGTTTCCAAATTTTTAACTTATTTTTTCTAAAAATACGCAAACACTGAATTTTAAATACCACGCTTCTGTTAATTGCAACATTTCGTGAGTTATCGAATGTTTATTTTGGTTTCCAGGTTTATCAATGAAAACAAGAGGCTACTCCCATAATATTATTGAACTATGTAAAAAAGTAGATGATAAATATTTAGCTCTATTGGAGGATGCATCGCAGTATTTATATGGTAAAGAATATAATGACGGTATGAATTTTATCGTGAAGGATTTCAAATTCAAAAGGAAATTCGTAGACAGAGATGATATTGAAAACCACCTTAGGAATGAGTGTACCACAACATCGGTCAGGTAATAACCACACACTTTGATGCTATTGATGCTATACCAGGTGTTTCAAATTCGATCCTCACCATTTGTATCTCGGAACTGGTAAGAGATACGAGTTTGTTGGAAAAACAAATTACCCTTAAATCGTTTTAATTTTTTCCTGACTATTTATAGTGGGATTTCAATATAAATTGCACATTAACATTGTCACTTTTTCTCCTCCGTATGTTCTTATTGTTGATGAAACTAAGGGTTTTTATGACAAGTACAAAAAGATATACAGGATGTTTTCAAAGTTGAGACATTTACATATTTTAACAGTTTGTAGAACTCGTCAAAAGAAGTTGATATACCAAAAATCACCTATATAAAAGTTGCATAATATGAGAGTTACTTTAAATTGTTAAAAAAAATAATCATCAAGTTAAATGGATACCGTTTATACAAAAGCTGTTCCAAATTGTCTCCATTTGTTCGATTAACGCAAAATCTTGCTCGGCGAATCTACGTCTCTTTACAAGCTTCGAAAATAAAATCCTGGTGTACACGAATTGAATCATAAGCATTTTCAGTGCGCTGTTGAAGTTCTTCCAGAGTATTTACGGCTCCGTCTTGATACACCAACTCTTTCAAATAGCCCCACGGAAAAAAATCGCAAGGCGGGGAGAGAGCAGGCCAAGAAATGGGTGCATTGCGTCCTATCCATCTATACGGAAACTCATTATTTAGATGTCCATGAACTTCTCGTCTAAAATGTGGTGGATCCCCATCTTGTAGGAACCACATATTCTGTCTCACATTTAGAGGAACACCTTTTTACTGTTCAAATATGGTTGTTGTGGAAATTGTGCACTCCATTTCGTGTAAATATGGCCGCGTGTGTACATAAAATTAATTTCGTAAAATATTCATTCCTGCCGAACTGTTCTACAAGCCACTGGCTAAATGTAACTCTTATAGGATGATCTTCAGGTTGTAACACTTGTACCCGTTGATAATGATGAGGATAATACTGTTCTTGTCGTATTGTCTTCCACACTTTACTATGAGAAACTTCAACTTGAGCTGCTATGGCTCTAGTACTGATTGTTGGGTCGTCTTCGACCATTTTTAAAATTTCTTCCTCAATTTGTAACATTTCAGGTTAAGTAGGTCTTCTAGCGTGACCTCCTCGTTGTTCGTTTGAATATACTGTGTCACGAAGTCTAATAACTAAATTTGCAAAAATCCGTGGGTCCGGATGATTTCTTAAAGGAAACCTTTCCGCATACAACCATCGGATTTTGTTGCCACTCCCCGTAATGTTAGTATTATGTCCACTAGTTCATTGTTTTCGTAAACATGGGCCAAATAATCAGTAGTGTACATGCACTATTAAAACACTGATTCAACTGATCGAACCGAAGACTCGTACTGAAAACCATACAATAACACAAAAAAATTGGAAAATTTAGATAGGCAGTAGACGAGAATATCATGAAATCTGTATAATAACATTCTTTTTTTTTAATCTTTTACTATTTATTTTATTATGCAACTTTTGTGTAGGTGATTTTTGGTATATCAACTCCTTTTGACGAGTGCCTAAAAGCAGTTAAAATAAATGACTTTGACCCTGTATATGTCATCTCATCCGCTATGTCACATACAAACTTGCTTTTAATTTTACTCTTTCACTCCAAAATGAAAGTTTTAAGTAAAAATCTGACTGCATGAGAGCTTTTAGCGATTATATATCGATGTCTTTATTATTTTTGTACAAGAAGTAGGAAAGATGTGAATAAATGTGAGACGTCACCCATTCTTAAATGCCTGAATGGATAAGTACGGGTATGTTCATAGTGCAGATGCTTACTGCGGTGCTTTCTTCCCTACCTCGATGATCGCTTCCTCGATCTGACCGCGATGTAAAACAAACACGTGTTTTAAGTTGGGAGCGTTCATAGCGACGATGCATTCTGCGCCGCCACCTTCGCTTCCTTGCGGTCGGCCGCGCGGAAGAACAAATATTTTGTTTTTACCTCGCTGTGTCAGGAGGGAAATATCGGGATGGGCTTCTGGGCTTAGCTGTGATTGGTTCCTCAGCAAGAATTGAATTACTGTGCAGGTTGGTGTACTTGCGGTTGAGCAGTAGAGACACAACTTCGGCGAGTATACCAACTGTATCTGTCGACATATAGGAGTGGAATATTTCCTTGTATCTCTTCAATTCGAGGAAAAGATGGTCGTACTCTCCAAGTTCCTGTCTCGCTTTGTTTACTGGATGTGTACTGAATTTTTGATTTGGTAGAGAACTAAACATCCACCACTTGGTTACTAGAGACAAATCACTCTCACTGTCACTGTCGTTCGACAACATCCTGCCTTATTATTCGCTTGTGATCAAATGATACATTGAGAACCGCGTTCGAGGAGAGAAGAGAAAACATCGAGGGTGAATTCAGTATGAACACGCTCCATCCATGTAGAAAGTCGCGAAGAAGCGCTCATCGAGGTAGCGAAGAAAGCATCACACTAAGCGTCTTTCACTATGAACGTACCCTAATGCACAAAACTATTACTGAGTTCTCTGTTTTCAGTATATCGGACTATATTTTAAGCTCCCTGCCACATTCATCTACAGACAGCGATTTGGTAACCAAATCCATAGTAGGTGCTAGGTTTTTAGAAGCAATTTTTTTCCTTTGTCCACATTTCCAACAGTGTTGTTCATTGAATAATGTCACCGACAAGTGGCCTAAAGTGTGCAGCAGGTTTAGCCAAGCCAGTAACACATTGTGGGAAAACTGGCTAGAGATCGAGGTTAAGCAGACGGAAATGATTTGTGAAAAATTGCATGATATTTCTCAAACGAAGATGATTAGTATATACACGGTATGTATTGTACTTTCTTAAGCTAATAGTCGAAAGCCTAACTGCAAATCCAAACATCTTTTAAATGATAATGAACTGTAACAAAAGTTTGGAACGCTTCGAATATCTGACGAATGACTCATCTATATTTTTTTTTAAATTGGTAGGTTTAGGTTCAAAACCACGGCGGATCCTCTTAGTTTTTGAAATATTCACTGTCAAACATTAATATTCAAACAATATAAGGTATTTTTTCACCTAAGCAATGACCGGTATCGAAAGTAATTTCCTGTTATTTCTGACATTCGAAAGTCCATTGAGTTTTGTTAGTAGAGTTATTGATAATGATTCATTTAACTGAAGCCGAGAGAATAGAAATTCTGGATTATGGCGGTCGTCGACGCACACAGCAAGAAGTTTTGCGATATTTTTAATGACAAATATCCCAACCGGAATCCAATAACAAGGTCTACTGTTGGAAAAGTTTTGAGGAATTTTGAAATAACAGGGCATGTAAAGGATGTTTCACGATGAGGCCGTCCCAAAACAGCCACTGACGAAAATAATTCTTTGAATATTTTTGTGAACATAGCGAAAAACCCCCACCTTTCTACTAGAACACTAGTGAAGATAACAATACATCTCAAATGTCTGTGGAACGCATTTTGGAGACAGAAAAATTTCATCCTTACAGTATTGTTGTTCACAGCACATTGTTAATTTTGATTCTAAATTTATTTCCTTCGAGAAAGGACTAATTTATAGAGGAGGCCATGCCACGCCTTGTCAAAAGCCTTCGCTACATCCAGAAGCACGATGCCAGTACTTTTGTGATTAGTGAATCCGCTAGTTATACGCTCGACCAGTCTAACTGCCTGCAGCTCCGAGCTATGCTCCGACTGAAACCCTAGTTGAACGTCGGGAATCATATTATGATCCGTCGAGAAATTCTGATGACGGAGAATCACCTTTTCAGCGAGCTTAGATGGCGCTGACAGTAAACTAATAGTACGATAATCCTGGGGAGAGAGCAGCTTCTGCTAGTAATCTGATCCTCTCCAGGTGCTTTACCAAGTAGCTCCGCTGGTGTGCAATGCGGAATCTCAGATGGTTCCACTGATATGCCATGCGAATTCTCTGTCGAGGAATCTTCCGTAGAGGAGTCCTCTGAGGAGGATCGACTAATACTGGCGGTGATGTCACTGACGCCATTATCTCTGAAGTATCTCCTGACGGATCTTACAATCTGTCGCTCCTCGTCGAGGTAATTATCTAAATCATAGTTGGGCGAGAACTGTCGTTCCATAGCATTAGCAAAAACTTCCGCTTTTTCCTTAGTCCTGAAGACCATGCCCTCAGGACATATACCGTGGATATGCGGTAGTTGTTCCCGTTTGCCTTTTCTGAATGATTTCGCAACCTACCAGAGAGGTGTACTCCAATAGAGCATTCTAGCTAGAAAATCGCTCCATTGCTCGTTCCGGAACTCATGAAGAGCGTTTCTTACTTCATAGCCAAAATTGTTGGCTTTACGGGTGGCATCTGGATGACAAGACCTTTTCGATTGTTTAACGACAGCTCTTTTGTCAGAAATTTGCTGACATGTCCACAGGGAGAAAGGGCCTGCCTCGCCACTGTACTGGAAGCACAGTCGCACTGGAAACACGTTTGCTTGGAGGGGTTTCCTCCTCTAAGGTTTGCTCGTTACCCACCTCCATCAAGACAGGACGGTGATCGTTTGAGATGTCATACATGATGCGAGAAGTGGTACTGTATCGACAGTTTCTGGATATGGCGAAGTCAATGATATCAGGTGCCTGGAGGTGATTGAACGGATGGTACGTCGGCTCCTCGGTACTGTGTATAAGGTATCCATTTCGTACCACATGGTTGTAAATCCGAATTCCATTAGTGGAATTCAACCTAGAATGCCAAGCTCGATGCTTGCTGTTGAAGTCCCCTGCCACAAAAAGTGGACCCGATCAGCCCAAAAGTACTTCCAGATGCTCTTCTCGCAGCCTGGCACCACACATAACATACACCGAAGTGATTTTCAATGGAATGTCTCCCGTATTGACCACCACAGACGTCGCTTCAGTGCTTAGCATTTTAGCGTTTGTGCTTCTGTAATAGTCAATACCACGTTTGACAAACATTGCCAAGCCTCCGCGTCGTCCATTCAGTCTATCAGCCCGGATAACAGCAGAGAACTAGACAATCCCCCGGATTAAGTAGTGTTTTCTGCAACAAGGCTACGTCTACACTTTCGTCCCAAGGAGCTTGATAAAATTCCCTTTTTTTGGGAATGTACCTCAAACCCAAACAATTAAAAAATAGAAGTTTGATATATGCTGGCTGTCTATTATTGTACCTAGCCATTTCGTGGCTGGGGAAGTATTACGTATAAAGCCTGAGTAGCGCTAGTCAGGGGACTAATTATTTGTTTTAAAGACTTCAAAGCTGTCGCTAAGTCAGACCACATTCTGAGAGGTCAGAGCGAAGTTTGTAACAGCAGGCGCAGGCATAGTTGCTTCGCTAGCAGCTTCCGCAGAATATTTACTCCGCCTTTCGGCAATGGCTTGCAGGTTCCTCCTTGGAGTAAACCTATAGGTCGAACTGTTTGCTGGATGCCGCCCATCACATTTGCCCTGTATGAGAGCACAAATGTGTCATGTGGTCCTGAGCACATTTCAGACACGCAGTGCAGTACGACTGTGCGTGTCCATACTTCTGGCAGCGATGACACTGCCCAATAAGACGAGTGTTCTTTTGAACCTCGACTCTGAATGCCAGACCCAGTAGATCGCCTTCGTTAAAAATCTGCTGCGATTTATCAATCTTAGGCATCATCACCACCATCAGAGGCATAGGAATGCCGCCGTTATGCTTCAAACGAATTATGTGGTGAGGAGAGTAGCCCTTCTGCTCCAACTCCTTGACCTCTTGGTGTGGTACCTCTTCCTCAGATACGAATTACCTTCCTATAGTCTCCTGTTTTAGGTATAATGCGAATTCCCGCGTCAACGGCGACCGCTCGCTCTACTTCAATGCCTGCGTCCCGCAGGAGAATCGGTGTGACTCGCGCTTGACGCGTCTGTCCCGATGTCTCGCTGGCAGCAGTACGGGGTAATGAAGGCAAAGTAGTAACAACGTTAGCTTGAGCAAATTGATTGAATAGGGGAAGAAGGCACAGGAGAGTTGTTGGTAGCTGGCTTAATAGTTGTCTTAGACGGCAGTGGATGGAATTGGTCAGTTTCGTTTCTTTTTCTGTCTTACTGGAGTAAATCCGTCTTCGTTGGTACTTTCGTCATCAGTAGAGGTAAGATTTATAGCTGTCAGACTGTCGTATGTCCGTTTATTGGAAGTTGTGTTGTCGTTTTTAGAAAGTAAAGCAGAATTTTCGGAAACTAGGAGAGATACCTGGGTGGTTAACTGTTCTATTCTGTTATGCAGTGCGGTTATTTGGGTCGCTTGGTTCCTGATAATGTCCATAAGCTGCTGAATTTGGGTCTCTTTCTATACGATTGTGACATCCGTCAGTTCTGTCACAGGTTCTAACAATTTTTCCTTTTTTATACATTGGCGTTGCTTTTGGAATCAGTTCTGTTTGGGGAGTAGTTGGATCTCCTGTGAACCCGTCAGAGTCGGATTCCATTTTTAATAACTCGCTCTTTCTCGACTTTGACTCAAGTTTCCTATGATTTATTCAATATAGTGGAGTTTTTCTTTCAGTAAAGATTATCTATCTATCTATGAATAGGAAGTGTAGACTATCCAACTATGAGTAACTGCGACATATTGGATGACACTAAATCCCGCGTCATCGAACTTTACCTTGATGAAGCTATAAGCTAGTATATCATTGTTGATTATTTACTTATATATGTATTTTTTACCTTGCTTCATTGATACAAAATAATATAATAATATCATTTATTGATATTTTCTGCAATTGGGTGTAAATAGACGGAGATATCTTATAGGGTGATTCCTTGTTGAACAATATGGAAAAAAGTTTCTATAAACATGGGTCCGGAAATGCAGAGTTTTCAAGATACAGGGTGATAAATTTAAAAAAAATATAACTATCTTAAAAAACATTTACTCGATTCTGTTGAAATTTGACAATATCATTTTTTATTAAGAGGCTAATTTAGCCCTAAATAGATTAAGTTTATTAGGTCCAGTGGCGGTCCGGGGGGCACCTTAGCGAATGTTATTGGCAAAAAAATTTACGCCACTGCCTTTTTTGTAACTTCAATATTCTTTGTTTGATTAAGCATCGAAAAATATAACTTCTTTGCCTCTTCTATTTTTTTCGCATCTCAATTCATTTTCGAGAAAAAAAAATAAAAACAGTTGTATTGCATGCCCTGGACAAAATTGGTTTATTATTTTTTTTCTAAATAAATCACAAGTGCCTTGGAAAACAAACAATCAAAAAATCTCTGCGAAAGAGTGTTATTGCAACTTTTCCAATAGGTACCATGACATAACTACAAAAAATGTTGGAAATGTCCACCATCCATTTCGGTGCACCTTCTCACTCGACGAATCATTGAACGACGAACTCGAGCTAAAATTTGAGGTCTATTTTTTATTTCTTCGCAAGCATTTACGATCTTATTTCTTGATTCTTCTATTGTTTCCATGGGAGTAGCGTAAATCATCGTCGGTGTCACCATAAGTAAAAATCTATTAGATTTAACTCAGGGGAGCGAGGTGACCAGTGAATTGGTCTAATTCTTCCAACCCAATTTTCACCAAAGGAGTTATTCAGATGAGTTCTGGCAGGTATACTAAAATGAGAAGGAGCTCCATCGTGCATAAAAGTTATTTGTTGAAGAAACCTTAAGTAAGATTCGTCGTTTAATCTTAAGGGTAAAAAGAAAGCATCAGTTGAATTGTTACCAACAATTCCCATCCAAACGTTTGAAGAAAATTGTTCCTGGTGGCGCCATTGTACGTAAGCATGAAGATTTTCGTCACTCCATGCATGAGTGTTATAGTAATTAACAATCCCATCCCGCCGAAAACCTGCTTCGTCCATAAAAAGTATGGTTTTATTAAAATTCCAGTTATTATTATATTAACCTTTTCGTAATACCATTGGCAAAACTGTAAAAGAGGTATAAAATCTCTTATTAATAATGCTTGCACACGTTCGACATGATAGGGACACAAAAGGTGCTTAGAGAGAACCTGCCACACAATGCTGTTGGAATGATTACCCCCTAATCTAGTTGCTATAGTCCTGGTACTAATACCAGGATTTTGTTCTACTGGCACGTAAATTGCCTCGTCAAACTCAGACATTCTTACGGACATCGGCCGGCCTCTATCATTGGTGGGAATGGCAAAACTTTTTAAATAACATAATTGTCAAAAACATCACGAAAAAGAAATAAGAAAATTTACCTCTTTCCCGTAATCCACGGTGTACGCTTTCAAATGTTTTGCCGATGGGGAAACGCTTCTGCATACAGGCGTCTCTCTACGTAACAGTTACGATAAGCACGTGCATAATTACATGCCTATCTGCCATTTCCTCAAAAGTATAATTTTCCATCACAAAAACCGAGACAAAAACTTTATAGAGAAATTTCGCAAACAAAATTACATAAATAATTCTTTTCTAGAAGAACTAACGCGCAAATATCAAACCTCCATGCAGAAATGATTTTTTGATTTCCAAGGCACTTTTGCAATTTTTTACCAAAAGTCAATAAACCAATTTTGGCCAGTGGCATGCAATAAAACGGTTATTTTTTTTCTCGAAAACGAAGTGAGATACAAAAAAGTACAAGAGGCAAAGAAGTTTTTTTTAGATGCTTAGTCAAACAACAAATATTAAAATTACAAAAAAGGCAGTGGCGTTCATTTTTTTGCCAATAATATTCGCTAAGGTGCCCCCGGGACGCCACTGGACCTAATAATTTATTATTTTAAATCTACTTAGGGCTGAATTAGCCTCTTAATACCAAAAATAATATTGCCAAATTTCAACAGAATCGAGTATAAATGAATGAATGAATCGTGAAATTAGAGGCATTCTGGCCACCATAAGGAGCCAGTGCATAGGCCGCTTAAACGGGTCCTTGACATCCTGAGGGTCCAAAGTAATGGACCCCGGTATAGCCTGCCTATAGTCGCTCAGAACTTCACAGCGACACAAAACGTGCGCCGAAGTCTCTTCCTCTACCCCGCAGCGCTCACACAAGGGATCCTCAGCCACCCCCCTCACGTGCAGATGGCGCCTTAACGTGTTATGGCCAGACAACAGTCCCACCAGCAACCTTAGGGTGGCTCTATCCAGAGATAAGCAGAAACGTCCATCCTTAGCACTGGGCCCTTCAATGAGTTACCGTGCCTAGCGGAGATGTCTGGAGATACTTCTCCATTGCTGAAAGTGTTGACATACTATCGTCGTGTAGAGCCAGTATACCACTTTGGGTTTAAGCCCCCACCTTACAGCGACAACACGTCTACAGGCCCACATTGAATTACTAGCCTTGCTAACCTTGAATGCTCTCTCCAGTTCAGTTTGCAATCCAGGATAATTCCCAGATATTTCACTGATTGGGATATAACTAATCTAGTCCCAAAGAAGGTCGGCATGACCAGCCCGTCAAGCCCTCTTTTCCTAATGAATAGGATCAGCTCGGTCTTTCCAGCATTAACAGAAAGATCGACTTCCCTGCATCACGATTCCACAGAGCGCAGAGCGCCCAGCATAATTTCAGAGACTGTTCTACAAAAACGACCCCTAACTACTATGCTTAAGTCATCAGAATAGGCTTGCACGTAGACATCTACACTGCTGAGCCTAACGTGGAGTTCGTTCACCACGATGCACCACAGTAGGTGTAACAGAACTCCGCCCTGACGGCTTCTAGCTACGCTGACGCTGCCGCTTACGTCATTCAGCATAGCTGTTGCTACCCGACCCTCCAGAGTAGATAGGACCCAATCTATTAGGATTGATCTACTCCCGTGCCTAACCAAGGCATGTCTGATAGAGTCGGTTGTAGTGCAATTAAATGCACCTTCAATGTCCAAAAAGGCCACGAGTGATCTAGAGTCTCTCCAGCCTACCGACCAGATTGTGTAAGGCCAGATCAGTCGATTTCCCAGTTTGGTATGCTGATTTGCATGAATGACACACCTTTCCAGGGGGCCATCCCTTAAGTATCTATGAACTATCCTTTCCAATGTCTTAAGCACAAAAGATGAAAGAGTAATGAGACGAAAATCCTTCCAGAATTGAGTAAATATTTTTTAAATTTATCACCCTGTATCTTGAAATTTTTTTTCATAATTTTTAACAAGGAACCACCCTCTAAAATATCTCCGTCTATTTTTCGAACACCCTGTATATCGTATGGTAAAATTTAACGATTGTTTTTTAAATATAATAGATTTCAATTTTCAGAGGTGGGATGAAATCGAAATACAAGAACAGACTGATGACGAGGAGGTTTTCAAATCACAAATACGAGTGCCGCTGAAACCTAGTCTTACCTTGAGTGAAATTCTGGATCATCTGAATGAAAATTTAAGTAAAGTGTTGCCTCACACATTGCCCAAAAAGATCTATTTAAAATACATCGAAAAGAACGCTTCAGTGATTCTTAGTCATTATAAAATCTTCGCCGAAGAGGACTTGAACCAGAAGCAGGCGTTGCAGTTTCTATTTGACGTGAAGTTCCTGACGGCGTTCTGTGTTCCCAGAGAAAATAGTCACCTAATCGGTCTTTCGCAAGATATCTGTGATAAATTTAGAAGTAAGGTCGACCCTTTTGATTTAGATGTTTTCTATCCGTACCTACAGAGCAACGTAAAAAGGGCTGTTGGACAGGCACAGGTAAAAAATTATCGTTATAGATACTATTTTTTCTCCGCTTCCCATGGAGGTAGTTTAATATCCATCAACAATCCCAAAATATTGTTGTATTTTGTTTGTCAATTTAAGGTCAAAAATGAAAATACCTCAAAGTTGGGAATTTCCTGTACACGGCGTGCATATCTTGGCAAAATGGAGCAGTTTTTCTTAGCAACATATACACAGAGTCTTAAGATTACCGAAAAATAAATAAAACCCAATTCGGTCCTGCACCACGATCAGATCAAACGTGAACACGTACGATGCACATCAGTACTCAATCCAGACTCCGGAGGCTTTGGTAAACAAAACCTTTACACATCGGTTCTAAAAAAGCAATTCGATTTACGATGGGTGTCTTCGAAATGCTACCGAGGCTTCGCGAGTACATGCAGATCGTTTTATAAGATCTTTCGTGATGTCTTCTTTTGTTTGGGGCGAAATTAAATATTTAGTATAAAACTGGGGTGAACACGATTGACGAACTGCGTGTTCGAATTCATTAATCTGTTGCATTCACTCGGGAAAAGCAGTCCATTCTAAAAGCCTACACTGACGCTTGGCTACGTCTAGCACATAACGTATGTCCTAAAAGTTTTGTCACAAAATATTTATCGGATTTTTTTTAATGAAGAAATTTATTTAAACTAACTAGTTATAAATTAAAACTCAATACTTACTTAAACTATACTATAGAATTATGTGAAGTAGCCCATTCTGTTGTTCTTCATCTTGGGCTTCACTGCCTCCATGATAAACCTTCCTAGATAGTAAAGCCCAAAAATCCTCTATTGGGCGAGCCTGCGGCAAGTTTGGAGGATTATCGTTTTTGGGAACAAAAGATATGTTATGTTGTCGAAGCCAATTTTGGATATCTCTTTAGTAAAGGCATGATGCTAGGTCTGGCCAAAACATGATATGATCATTAGCATAATGTTAGTGGACAAACAGCAAGCAATTTGGAAAGGCAGTTTCACTATAGCTCTGACTATGCAAAGCTTCACGCTCACTCTTTCCACAAAAGGTTGACTAGCCAGTGTCCTTGTTAACATTCCAACCTGGTTTTTTGCTCTTCTCACCAATCTCTCTGACATCTGTGCAGTAAATGCACGTGGTTTTCCACTTTTCGGTATTCCCTGCTCGCACTCCGCTATTGTTCGATAAATGATTCTGCGCCAAATGTTTGCATTCCGGAATATTCGACAGATCTCCGCTTTGGGTACCCGCCCAACCAACTTATAGATACTTTTTCTTATTTCTAATTTATACGACATAATAAAGCGTAAACTTCAAAATAACTAAATGTCAACTGGCAGTAAAGGAAGTAAAACTTTTGTTTCCAAAGAAGATGGATATTATTTTGTGTTAGTTAAAATTAAAGCCAATGAATTTTGTGGCAATACTTTTAGGGCATACGTTACGTGTCTTTGAATCTATCGCAGACAACTTTGAGCAATACTTACATGTGACAGAGCTGTACTTCAAATTTCTTTTCGATGAACAGTAAGTACTTTTGCATTCGCCTTTTTACTTTTTCGCTATTGTTTCAGCACACACTAGCTTTGTTATTAAAACGTATTTGTTTCTGAAAAGGAAAATCCCAACTTATATTTTCAAACGAGACTTTATACTCCGATATCCCATTTATCCAGTACTTTTCGCCGACCATTTGTTTTTTTAAACGGATCGTGTGATACATCATTGTGTAGCTCCTAATGAGTATTTTATAGCTCTAGACTATACATACTTCTGTAAAAATGCAACATAACGTTATATCAATCTATTTCTCTTGGAAAAGTATATTCTAGCATGCAATAAAATATGGGACATTTCATTTAAAATCTTCAATGTCAGGTTGTTCAAGTGGAACGTTTCACATTTTATTGCAAAATCAGACATAAAACAAAAGCTATTAAACTTTCATGGCCCGCCAGTGCGCCATTTTGAAACATGATCTGGGCTGGTATTCTAGTTCCTCAAAAAACATAGCATCTGGCGTAACAGTAGGCTGGCAGGACGAGCAAAATACCATGGGCTCCCAGCAGAAATGGGGCGATTTTTAGTAAAATTTAGTAACTGTATATTCAATTAGTTTCAGCTACTTGCTCAAAAATTTATCAATATGTATTCGAATTCATTTATAAGAAAGAGATATCACCCAGTCATTTTTTGTATACAGGGTGGCCCAACGAAAAGGTCGCACCCCCATTTTTGGCGCTCCTGGTATAATTTAGGAAAAACGCTCGGACACATCAATTTTGACTTCTAGAGATCTAGAGGGACGTGTCTTTTCATCTATAGCCATACAATACAGGGTGATCCAGATATTGCGTTACAGTTCATATTTTTAAATGGAATCCCCCATTTTTGTTGTTGTGAAGCTGTTGGAATTTATAATAAAATTAATAAGGATAATAACGGAATGCACGGCAAAAAATAATAATCATGGATACTAGCAAGAACATTTAACATCAGTCAGTGTCATCGTATGTCAATTTTCATTTTAAATTGTTAAGTTACCTACCTGGCTGTCATAAATACTGCACAATGACTTATTCATTTCAAGAAAGGGTAGAAATAAGAAAACTGCATTACCAAAATGGAGGCATTGCAAGAGCTTCTGCCCGGTTGTTTAATGCGTTACATCTAAAATATTAACGATAAGTACGAGTATGAGGCTGAGTTGATAAGAAAATTTGAAGAAACTTTATCTGTGTCTAATATTCGCCGTAATCGCCATCGAGAAAATCGCCCAGCTAGAAATGAAGCCGTAGAAATAGCAGTTTTGGGACACGTAGCACTTGACAACACCCAAAGCACTCGTGGACTGGCTACTTCTTCAGGATTTACACGCTCAACAGTACAAAGAATTTTGAAACACAATACATTTCACCCATACAAGATAAAACTTATCCATGAACTCAATGACGACGATTTTGATAGAAGGTTGGAGTTTTGCGAGTTAATGTCCCCACGTTTAATCAACAATGGAAATCTGTTATTCAATATTTATTTCTCGGATGAGTGTATGTTCTATTTACATGGTGCTGTAAATTGACATAGACGATATTGGAGTGACTCGAATCCACATTTGTTTCGAGAGGAGCCTAGTAATAACCTGAAGAAATAAATGTAGGGCCGGCATTTTCGGAAATCGTATTGTAGGACCTTTTTTTATTCCTGGAAACTTGACGGGCGAGACGTACTTGGACATGTCGGAAAATACAATAGACCCACGAATTACCGAAATAATAGAAAATGACGTTAATTTTAATGAAAATTACATTCATTTCCCACAAGATTTGAAAAGTTTTTAGTACGAAGCCAGATTCCATTCAAGATCTTTCTCAGCGGTTTACGGCTGAATGTAGACGAATAACTCAAGACATACTTGAAAATGTGAGGAATAGATTCCAACAAAAGCTTTGATTATTGCGTGGAGGTAACTGGACACCACTTTCAGCACTTATTACAACATTGACCTACCTCTTTTTAGCAAATTAATTTTTACTTTAACTTTAATGTGCGTGTAAACTGTAAGTTGCTTTTTGTTTTTTTTTTATACTCGGTGACTTGTTTTTAATTTTAAAGTCTTGTTAGTGTGTTAACTATATTGATTATTATTTTTACGACATAATCCCTTATTATCACAATTTCTAGAATTTTAATATAAACTCAAATAGCTTCACAACGATTGTAGATAGGTATAAACTTTATTATACAACAGTTACTAACAACTTCATGAATATAAAAAGTCGTCTCCCTAGAAATCAAAATTGGGGTTTTATGGAGGTTTTCATGGAGAATCTTAAAATTTGAAAAAATGGGGGTTTCCATTTAAAAATAGAAATTGTAATGCAATATATGATTTTTGAATCACCCTGTATTATACATGTTTAGTGTATGCTTAAAAATCAGTTTTGACTTTATTAAGCAGATATTGTAAATCATTTCATAGGTAATTCTAGGATGTCTTTTGCCCTCACCCCATCATTTGGCCAGCTTGGGGATATATGAGAAGAATAAAGAGCAGGAACAAAATCCATCACTGTTAGCGCTATCCACACCGTCTAGCACAACGTGGTTTTCATTACTGCCAATATCTGTTCCGACTTCAAAGTTTGCTGCTGGTCAGCTGACTTCGAAGAAAAGTACTAAGGTAAGGCTGTTTATACGAGCCCTGTCTCAGTGAAGTTGGTCCAACTATCAAAACTACGTTTTTCATGAAATTTCTCATATTAGCGGAAACGTATCAAAAACTAAAATGCATGTCTGATAACATTCGATATTTTTATTTAATATTAGCTTATTATTAAAAATATCTTACAAATTCAAAAAACAGCCGATTAGTAAAAATCAACGAAACCAAATAGCAAATCACCAGTGCGTTACGTCGACTTTTCGACTCACTGCATAATGTCAACTAATGTTTGGCAGTCATCTGGTGTAAAACTGTTAAAAATTTCTTGGGGACGGGTTCGCAATTCTGGAACGGTTCTTGCGGGATTCGATCGGAGCTCTTCCTTTATGATATGCCACACGGGTTCAATCGGCAGTAGATCTGGACTACTCGACCGTCATTTTAAAACTGAAATATTGTTTTCTAACATCCAATCTTTTACTTTTTTAGCCGTCTCACAAGCGGCACCATCTTGTTGATAGATACATTCAATATTGTTTAAACACATTTGCTCAATTTGGGAGATTAAGTTATTTTGAAGCACATTAATGTACTTATCAGCATTCATAACACCTTCCACAAAGTGTAAGTCTTCCACTCCACTTGCTGACATGGATCCCCAAATCATAACAGAAGCCGGAAACTTTACTTTTTTTAAGAAAGCCATTCTGAAACACTTCTTCTTATGACACAACTCCTACTGTCACCAACAGATTATTCAAATCCGGCTTCATCACGCCAAGTTGAATTGGTTTGGCGGCTATAATTTGTGTTATTTTGCCTACGCTAGCCTGTTTTTCTCCTGAATCTTTGTCAGTAAGGGCTTCTCTTTTGCATGAGTTAAAAAGGAATAAAAAAATAATAATTTAAGCCTACCTTGTAGTTTTGCATCCCAGTTTTTGGGCAGCTCGATGACAAGTTGCTCTTGAAACCTTTTTTGTGGTTGCCTGATTCCATAATATTTTCAATTCGATATAATTAGCACGCCGATTTTCCTTGATAATCCGTTTTAAGGCTCTTAAGTTGGTATTGGAATAACGCGGGCGACTTCCAGTTTTGGGTTTTTGGGCCACATATCCTGTTGTTTTGTATAATTTAATAATACATTAGAACTGTTTGCTTCGATTTGTTAGCACTGTTAGCGATTTGGGAAGCATTTTGGCCTTTTAAATGCAAGTGAATGATCACTTTTCGTATTTCGTCAGAAACAGCTTCACCACGAACCATTTTTAATTGTTAACAACAACACCAATGCATTGGAAGTTGATTTAGCCGTCAAAACTCAGCTTCTTAGCAACGTAAAATGTTATCATTTTTTTTACAAAGCCTGCCCTTATGTTATCGAAGCGAATAAACAGACCATTCAACTTAAGTTGTCTCCATCATGTATTTTTCTATACACAAATCGTTTTGCAAAGAAGACAATTTCGAAATTGAAGAGCTTTAAAAATAGCCGCGTCGGTTTTGTTATCTTTCCATTAACATTTGAATAAACCAAAAACATATTTGAAATAAAATTTTAATTAGACTTCAACTAAATTCACAAATATCATGTTTTGGGGCGTTGGGCCAACTTTACTGAGACAATTTTTGTTTCAATATATAGCGTAAATGTTCAGTTTTATTTCCTAACAACTAACTACAAAACTTTATGAACGAAATTGTTGCAGTTTGCAAGAAAACCTTAAGCCAGGGCTGTCCACTTAATGTGGCCCAAGGGCCACTTCAAAAAAAAATGCAGTTTGGAGGGCCGCATTATAAAATCTTTCTATACAACGTTATTACTGAGTTTTTATAGGTATATACTATACTATATGGTATACAAAAATAGTTTTTCTATTATTTTTATTTATTAAAAAAATGTAAAATTACAAAAAAATCAGTGGGACATTTGAGGATGTTGGTTTTCTAATACTAATGCATCAATATTAACATTAATATTTGTTGTCGATAAACGAAGTAACTGAGTGAGTGACTCTTATCAGAGAGGGAACATCTATACTTTGACTTGATAAATTTCATGTTGGAAAAGCTGCTTTCGCAAAGATACGTGCTTCCCATCATTGATCCCATTGTAAGTCCTAAGTTTCGCAAGTTGGGGTATCGTTCTCCTGGCAGTAACTTAAAAAGTCCAACCCAGTTTCATTTCTTCCTTGGTAAAAAGGATCTGATTGCAAATGACACAGTTCCAGTTGAAGGTCTGCTCTGCTTACGTTCTCAACAGAAATTGTTAGTGGCTTCTGCAATTGTGTCAATGTATTTTATATGAGGTAAATATGAAACTTCCTCAAAATCCTTCATTTCTTCGAAATGTTCTTTACAACTTGGAAAAAATGAAAAATCATTTTTTTGTAATGAAGACTTGAAAAGCTTAATTTTATTCTTAAACCCATTTATGTGTCCAAATAAGTTGGCAATATTCTGCTGTTTTCCTTGTAGCTTCAAATTCAATTCGTTAAGGTGAGATGTCATATCTGTTAAAAATGCAAGGTCTGCTAAAAATTCTTCATCTGCCATTTGGTTTTCCAGTTCCGTAGTGTCGGACTTTCATTTTTAAGGAAAATAGGAATTTCCTTGCATAGAGCGAAAAATCGTGGCAAACACTTTCCGGCGCTTAACCAACGAACATCGGTGTGAAGTAACAAGTCCCCATATGTAGCATCCACTTCGGCCAAAAAATCACGAAACTCTCTGTGAGCCAAAGCACGATTGCCTCCTCTAACAATATTAGTTATTTTAACAGCCACTTTCATGACATTTATTTGACGTAAAGATTTTCCACATAAGCTCTCTTGGTGAACAAGACAATGTATCATAGGACAGTTGATGCTGTTTTGTTTCAATAGTCCTGCAAATCCAATTTCAGTCTCTGTCAGAACTCTGGCGCCATCAGTGACAATACAGGAACATTTATCAAATCCCCCGTAGTCTGACAGCAACTTATTCACAGCTTCAAAAATACCTGTACCCTTGGTTGTACCATGGAGAGGAATAAGGTCAAGCATCTCCTCTGCTACACTGAAGTCGTCTTGAATAGTTCGGATAAAAATTACAAGCTGGCTAATGTTAGACAGATCAGTGCTTTCATCCAGGCATAGCGAAAAATATTTACATTTTTCAAATACATCACGCAATTTTTTTGATACATGTTCATTGATATGGTCTTGCAATTGTTTGATGCGATACTGAGACTGTTTCCAAGTTTTTCGGCAAGATTTAATTCATTGAGTTGTTTCGCCATTTCTATTGCACACTTTTTGATAAGCACTCCATCACTAAAAGGTTTTTTTGCTTTGGCAATTTCCAGCTCTATTTTGTAAGAGGCGGCAATACTGCACTTGTTATCAGAGTCAGATTTTTTGAAAAAACTTGTTTGTTGTTTTAGTTTTTTCCTGTATTCCGTTATGATAGCCTGCCTCGAGTTCTCTGAATATTGCCGAAACGTTTTCGCGTGTAACGTAGTGTAATGTCGTTTCATATTATATTCTTTACGAACCGATAGTACTTGCATATAAACAATGCACTGAAGTTTATTATTATTGTTCGAGATTAACTATTCCGATTCCCAACGGTCATTATAAACTCGATGTTCGTTCGTTATTTTTCGTTTCTGTGAGGACATATTTCACGGATTATTTCACTTAAAAAGGCTTTAGAGTTGCTGTGTACTGAAACGCACTAGCACTAGAACAAAACTGCCTGTCCCTCTTGATTCAACCTTCTTATATACGCGCCCGTGGCTTCTCGAATATTCGGGGATGATCGAGAGTTCGGTCCAATTTCCAGTAAATTCGCCGCGGCCTGCTATCGGTCACCAGTGGCGTCACATGTTATTGTATTTTATCGTTAATGTAAGAATTGTGCATATTCGGTATTTGAGAGTAATTTATACATGTGATGTATACATGACCCGTGAAGCGGGGCGCAAGAAAGGAGTTCGCGGGCCGCATGCGGCTCGCGGGCTTTATATTGGACAGCCTTGCCTTAAGCTATCGTTAGGATATTTTCTGGCGGTTTTACCCGATTTATGGTGTTTTCTCAGACAATTTCTAAACATTTTGAGCTGTTTTACGGTAGCCGCTTCCACCAGAAAACCGAAGTGCGTTCTAGTACTTGAAGAAATTCAAATCTTAGTTAAGTCCGGTAATGTCAACAACTTTTTTTCAGGAGGCAAGGGCAAAATCTACTCCAAAATCCACGAGGTCCCAGGATCCTACGAGTATCATGAAACAAAGCGCTGCTTCCCTATTTAGTGGTCTCACTACGGATTGGTTTTCATAATAGTATGAATATTTTATATGTATGTACATATTGTTTTACCACCGCAAAGCTATTGTTGTATTGTATTAAATTTGAACATACGATTATTTATATACATGGAAATAAATACCGCCTTCAAGTTATACCATATTTTTTTACAACGGGATTCACGATTATTTGACATATGTTACAAAGATCTAGCAGGCCGTGCGGAAAATAGTCTGATGAAATTAACTTCGCAAGTTATTAGGCGAACAACTCAAAGGGAAGTAGTCGTGTCCGCGGCTCTAAGGACCTTCCCAGGCCGGCAGGGGTATTACGTATCTTGAAATGTGACATTATGTTCTTGTTTTTTTGACATTATATAGTTTTTTTTGTATGACATTATGTTATGTTAGATTTACGTATATGATGTCAACGTAAACTAGCTGTTGTTTACTTGATGTGCACTCGTATGTACGTGTTGCCTAAACGTCATGACGCTTGAACTATCTTGGTTTGGCTTTGATGTGATATAACATGTGCTTCAGAGATGGCATTATTGGAGGTCTGAGCTGTAAGTTGTATGCTATAGCTGGAAGGAAACGGCAGTGCATAGCGAGGATTTGTGTGCTAATAATCTGTGATAGATGATAAAACATTTATGAAAATGAGAAGGTTATTATATTTTAGATTATTTTTCATTTCCAGATATTCAAATTTTACAGAAATAGATTTTTTGCGATGTCAGGTAGATAATACAAATCAACGCCTGGATGCGAGGCACTGCGAAAATGCTTAATTACACACAACGCGGTGATTTTCCGTAGGTAATGATTCTCAAGGTTTTTGAACAAAGGATAAATCCAGGAATACTTAACAATTTGTATTCTTCAAAATTAAATTATCATGAAATAATGATAAATTAAGAATAAATCATTTACTTTTACTCTCACTCTAATAAAATAATTTATATTTTAAAAAAATAATTGTTTAAACAATTCATAATTGGTATACTCTTAAGAAAATACATTCTAATAAATTGTAAAAAATATTAATTCACGTTTGTCTTTCATTTATATTTATTTTATTTGCATTATTTGTGTTATAATAATGTAATTATTTTTTTTTGAAATTGGGTCTTAAAATCATGCTCCAAAAACTCCAGTTTATCGATTATTTGTGAAATTTAATTTGAAAATTATACAAGCAAAATACTGAATTTTGGGCTTTTCCCATGGTTTATAAAAAACAACGCATATCTGGCTGTATCTTTTTATGTATTTGTCATTTGAAACTTTCAGATATCTACTAAACTTTTTTACACCTTTTTTTTATCTAGCCTGGACAGCATATTCAGTTCTCAGAGATATACCCTACAGACTATCTCGGCATTCTGCAACCAACAAAGCATGTTATGGAACTGACTTGCAGCATGCAGCATGATCGTTGAGTAATTCATCTATAGTTTAAGCATTTGGTTACGCTCACAGCACCCCCTGCATGCAAACGCATAACTATTTGCACAATATAGCAGCTGCCTAGTCAGCAAGATGACATTTTGTCTTTCTTTTTTTGACATATAGGTTTCTTACGTAATAACCCTGCCGGTCAAAAGGGGGCTATACCGGGAATAGTCGAGTTACATCAACTTTGCAATTATATTAGGCTAACACCTAGAACGTGAGTAGTCAGTTCGCGAGTTGATTTATCAACTGCCTCGAATTAGTCCGAATTCGTTGCCTCGAACGGTTTTCTTGCCACAAAAACTTGCGTGTATTTGCAAAATAACTTGGAAAGTTACATTTACCAATTTAGGGGACCAATGCTAGAACTAGTCAAGTCCATTATTTATAATTTTACATTATACCAAAAAAAATGTCCGGACTTGACTAGTTTTTACAACGTTTGAGAAAGCAGGCAACCACCAGTACATTTATAAATTGCTTATTTTTAGGATTACATGTCTCGTTTTTATACAGCCCGAGTGATAATTTTAAACTGGATAAAAATTTGCCTAAAAAATAGACTTGGCCGGTTCTTGTATTAGACCCTCAAAGTGATTTACCCGACGAAATCAACCATACCAGATTAAAGGATAGTCTAGTGAATGATTCTCGACGCTGGCCAAGCAGTTTGAAAGGAAGTTCTCACCCAGTAGCCTTCCGCCACTTACATGTCAGGATGGAACGATAGTAACCGACCGGCTAAGGCGGAAGTGCTTGCCAAGATCTTTGCTGCCAGATCCACCCATCCCCCCCCCTCAACAACCGAGCGCCGTCGGTTCAAAGGGCTCCCTACACTATGCAGGAAGTAACATTCAGTCATAAGACCGGTGCTGTTGTCGCTCGACATCAACAAAGCTTCTGGCTCGGACTTGATTCCTGCCATTGTACTGAAGAGGTGTGCAGCGGATTTTGCTCCAGTTCTTTCGCGTCTCTTCCAGATATCTTATGAATCCAGAACCTTCCCAGAAAACTGGATATTTGCTCTTGGTCAACAAAGCTAAGACCGACCCTTACAACTACAGGCCTATAGCTCTGCTTGCTGCTATAAATAAGGTAGATGATGGAGAGGTGCATAAATCGCGAGCTTCTGGATTACCTCGATCATCATGGCTTGATTAGCGACAGGAAGTATGGTTTCCGGCACCAACGATCCACAGGGACCTCCTAGCTTACGTCACGCAAAGCGTTAGATCAGCTGTGGCACGCTGCCCTCTGATGCAAACTTCCATCCTATGGCCTCCCAGAGAAGCTTTGCAGATGGGTGGGTGATTTTCCCTACGACCGTAAGACATCCGTCGTAATTTACTCTCTCTCCTTTTCATCCCACAACTCGACGCGGGTATTCCCCAGGAATCGCTCCGACACTTCTCTTACATATCAACGACCTCCTTTTCTGTACGATTAACCCAATCCACAGCTTTGCCGATAACAGCACTCTACATGCAGGAATTCAGAGCGACGAGCCGATCTTTGCCGCTGAGCTGGAAAAAAGAAAACTAGCGACAACTTTCTTCCTGTCTGACGAGAAACCTGAAGGTTATCACTGCTTGGGCACGCAATAATGTCGTACAATTTAATGCTTCCAACACTCAGTACTGTACCTTGACGAACAAAAAGCGTCCTAGCGCTCATCCCGTTTCGATGGATGGCCGAGTTCTACCAAAGACCAGTTAATTTCGTCTGGTCAGAGTCCAGATCACCGAAGACCTGATCTGGCACGAACACATCTCGTCAATAGCGACAGCTGCTGGGAAAAAGCTAGGCTATTTGTTTAGGGCTAAGAAGTAATTTTCTCCACATACAAGGCCCAGATAAGGCCTAGCCTCGAGTATTGCTCAACATTATTTATGATCGATGCTGTCCAGCCGATCTAGCTCTCGCCTATCGCTAACAAAATTTCTTTATATATATATATATAAAGAATATATTCTTTATATATATATATAACAAGTAGGAAAATAATGGGCAAAATCCGCAAAAAGGAGGAAAGTGGATTCGAGCAGAAAATAGGATAGGTAACCCGAGCGATACGTATTTCTGCTGGTTGGCTTCATCAGGCCCGAAATGAATGCACATATGAAACTATAAAAGTAGATACACATGCCCACACATCCGGATACGGGTGTAACCTGAGGAAACGAAGTTGGAGGAGGAAAAACGACACACGAAGTCCACAACAAGAGTCAACCTACATATTGTAGTATAAAATGGCTATAAGACCTCGAATTTTCAAGGAGACGTCTAACCACCACCACGCGGCCGGTTATAGCCACTTGCTGTGGTACTTCAAGCCCAAAGGATCTACAATGATAATATGAATGCACATATGAAACTACAAAAGTAGATACACATGCCCATTCTCTCTCTCTCTCTCTCTATATATATATATATAAAGACCTATTTTATATTATAAACGAAGCCAACTTCTGTTTAACATAATCTTTTATGAACTGATAACAGCGTTGCATGGAAAGTGCAAAGTCGACCTATTTCACGTGTATCTACTTTTGTAGTTTCATATGTGCATTCATTTCGGGCCTGATGAAGCCAACCAGCAGAAATACGTATCGCTCGGGTTACCTATCCTATTTTCTGCTCGAATCCACTTTCCTCCTTTTTGCGGATTTTGCCCATTATTTTCCTACTTGTTGTTATATACCTTCCTCCGCATGATCATATTCTCTCTCTCTCTCTATATATATATATACAGGGTGAGTCATTTATTTTAACAGTGAGTAGATCTGATCAAAAGAAATGTTTTTTTCCTTTACCATTTTCCTGGTAAAATTAAAGTAACAAAGTTATAGCCCTTTGGAAGTTTGAGTACCGCCCTGTCTCAATAACAATATTATGTGGTCGTGTTTGGCGACAATGGATATAATCCGCCGTATCGGTTCATCGCATCGGAAACAAAAAAGCGAAAGAATTTGGAACGATGTTTTTACAGGTATCTCATTCATTTGTATACAGTTAGTGTCAGTGAATAGTTGTATGTGTTGCGTGGCTCAAACGAAATAAAAAATGGCACATGTTTATGCGGATCGGTTTCCCAATCGAGTGCAACCAACCCCTCGTGCCTTTGTTAATGTAGTACAACGGGCTTGTGAATCAGGTGACTTAAGACCTCACAGGGGACCTCACGATCAAATACAGGTCCGCACTGAAATACTTGTCGGGAGGATACTTTATAAAACAAGGTAAAAATTTTTTTTTATTTTTTTTTTATTTTTACACACATATTTTGGTTTATCTTCCTTCTACAATCATTATCCGAAAATTAATGACTCAACTTCAAAGTCACCCTGTATATGTATATATAAAGACCTATTTTATATTATAAACGAAGCCAACTTCTGTTTAACATAATCTTTTATGAACTGATAGCGTTGCATGGAAAGTGCAAAGTCGACCTATTTCACGCAGTTTTTTAAAGGGTCATGGAGAAAAATATATGGCTGAGGTCCAATTTTTTAATTAGACGTCAACCGTCATTCTTTTGAAGAATTAAATAAAAACCATCCAATTTTCGTAGTATAATAATTTAATATCACAGACTTAGTCACAAATACTAGAAATATAGGCTTTACAACATACTACTATAAACTAAATATTGACTAATAAGCTTACTTCTATGAGTTATTGCGTGTCATAAAAATTGTTCAATAATACGAGAAGGTATCACTTA